AAACCCAGTCAAGAATCATATGCTGGCTCTCTCGATGACTTCGACTTTCTCAGCTTGGTCAGCTGTCTCAACTTGGGCTTTCAAGTGACCCTGGGTAGAATCCACGGTGTCTTTCATGGGCTGGTTAGCCGGGCCTTCAGTAGAGCCTTGCACATCTGCACCATCCACAATTTGATCGGTACCTAGGGGCTTGGACTGGGCGCTATCCTTTTGCTCGGCTCGCTCTTGTTCTTCTTTTTCGCGAGCCAGTCGCTCCACCTCCATTTGTTCCATGTGTCGAAGGTCATCGACACTGGGCTCGTATAGATGCCAGATAGTGTAATGTGGCAGTCCAACCACCGAGAATTTCATTCGTTTAGCCATCTAGGAAACAATTAGCAACTGTAATCACTGCCTCGTTGATTACTGTCTTACCTTGCCAAACCCTTCCGTTTCGGCATGCTTCTCGAAACTGAAGGCCGGGAAATGCACACCAGCACGGAAAACTCGGGCCTTTGCAAGGATACTGACACCTCCGATTCCATCTAGCTCCATCTCCATGTCTGGATTGCCGTAGGGATCGCGGAGGTAGGCAAGGTGAGGCCGCCATGTAGCGTACTCGGCATATCCTTCCACAATGACAGCATCCTCGTCCAAGGAATCCGCAAGCATCAATGCAGTCTCAGATTCTTGCCAGGAGTTCAGATCGTAAGGCTGCTCTCCGCCAAGCCAGTCTGGAAGCGGACGCCAAACATCTACAGACAAAGCCAATTAGTAAAGGTCCGGACCTGTATGCAGCAGTCACCACTCACTCGGAACTATAACATCCTTGTTGTGCCGCATTAGGTCCTCAATGATTGTGAACGGAGCAGTCTCCACGTCCGCATCTCTCCAGTAGACCCAGCTGTGTGTTGGGCGCAGCGTTGCGCTCAGCAGCCAATTCCTCGCCTGCGCCATCAGCTTGCGTCGGCTAGCCTGTGCCTCGAATCCGTGTCGACTTTCCACGTCCTGTTGGACTTTCTGCCCGAAGTCCTTCTGGATCACGGAGATCTCGCCAAAGGGCATTGTCGGGTCCGGGTCATTTTGTGTATCCTCCAACATGCGCGACAGCATGCCTAGGGTGTCATCCCGAGAGTCCGATACCAGAAATGCCAGATCAATTAGGTGGTGCGGGTATGTCAGGTTTCGAAGGTGGGAGAAAAACATCGGGAGATGCGACGAGGCATCTCGGAGCGGGGTGCACATTAGGACACGCTCTCCACGTTCCCAGCCCTTCTCCGTCCCTTGCACTTCTGATAAATCATAATATCGGACCGTTTGTAGGTGTAGATCTCCGGGGTAAGAGAGAAGGCCGAGCGAGATACTGGGAAGGATGGCGGCGCGCCAGGATGGGAAGATCAAGAGGAACAGCACTAGCGACACACCGCCAAGGAGGCAGAGTCGCTGGACGAGCTGTCGGCGTCTCCGGAGGGCAGGTTGTGAACGAGGCTGGAACCTGGGGACGAAGGCATAGTCAGTTTTGATTTCGAGCTTCACAATGCTGACGGGGCTCCAAGCTCGGGCAATGAAAAGCGAGCCGCTTCACTCGAACTGGATGGTCGGCTTACCTGTTCGGTGAAATTGAAAATGCAGACCCTCTGGGGTAGGCGGAGTGGCCTTTTTCAAGGACGTGTCGGTTCATCACGGGCGCTGTCACAGGCCGTCGCGGTGCTTATGTTGGGGGCCAAGAACTGATGGAGCGGCCGGAGACCCTGACAACCCCGATCTGTTTTGAAAAGGCCAGTTATAGAATGGCAGCAATGAAAGTCCCAAGAAAAGATTGGAATTAAAAAAGAATTGAAAGCCACAGAAGAAGAAGAAGATAAGACTTGATGTGATCCAAGGTCTCACACTGTTGTGGTTCTCACCAAATCCGGTCATCCGCTTGCAGTCATGCTTGTCCCCTAGATGGACTTATAGGTACTTTACAACACAACTTGGGATAAAAATACATAAAAAATCATAAACGCTTTGATTTGGCCAATTGGATTCGCTAATTTTATGTACAAAGAATTCCCCCAATGCTTAAATATGTAGATAATTTTGTCCCTTCACAGTGAAAGTGTAGGAGGCGAGATCATGCTCAATTGAGGTCGAAGAGCAGGAGAATCCATCTTTGTTTCCACTTCGATCATTTGCATCATTTGCAGTAATAGCTTGTTCACTTTTCTCTCATCGCGCAAGCTCGGCAAGACGGATGCGGCCTCGTAATCGGTGTCGAGGATAAAGTAGCGTTCCTTTTGCCAATTCTCCACCGTATCGACGTGGAATGTGACTTTGGTGATCGCCTTGGCTGGAACACTGACCTTGTTCATGGAGCTTCGGGATACCATGCGCAAGAACGGCCGAAGCCCGGACCGAGTCTGGTGTGCGACTCTGACCGACATAGGCGCCCCGGTCCGCAGGTTACTCGGGCCAGTGATACCTCCTGGATCCAAGGTGAAGACGTCAAGCGATATATTACCGGTCTATAATTAGATTTTATTAGTAAATTGGAAATCGGGAGATTAGAAAGGTCAACTTACCCAGATCAAGCTCCGCCTCAATGCATATAATGCGACACTCCCCATTAACTTGCTGCTTCCAAAACGAATATTCTCTTCCTTTGCGCTCAGTGCAGTTCCCGGTTGCCTTCCGTTTCTTCCATTGTCGTGGTCAAAGTAATCCAATCTCCCGGAAGATGTCGCAGAACAGCCAATGTTGATCACCTTGGCTCCACCTTTTGGTGTACCATCTCCAGCCCGGAAAGCCTCGAGCAGTCCAATAGTCAATAAAAATGGAGATAGACAATTGGTCTGATACACAGGGTCGTAGCCGTCTGATGTGAGGTCATCAATAACGTAAGATGTAGCGACAGCAGAGTGAATCAGACTAGTCACAGGCGGAATGTCTCTGTAGCGAACACGATCGACGGTAGTTCTAGCGAAAGATGCCACACATTTCAGATCTGTCAGATCAAGAGCGAGAACCTCGATCGACCTGGGACCGATCAAGCGGATCTTCCCCATCAGTTCGCGGACATCGTCGGTCCTTATATCCCGTGCCGTCAATAATAAATGGACGAAAGGCTGCTTCTTTGCGATCTCGATGGCAATCCCTGAACCCAATAGCCCATTTCCACCAGTGATAATAACCGTTTCTGTAAGTGGTGTACCCATAATGCCGGCTTTTTGTTAGGCAAGAGTCTTGGGTATGTAGGTGCCACAGTAGAAAAAAACGTGGTCAAAAAAAACTAGATATTCGATTCCAATTATGGGGATGGTAGAAAACAATGGAATATCGACAAAGGGAATTATAACTTCAAAAAAAATGGAGTTGTCAAAGCGAGGCCTAAGTGTTATATACTAAAGAGTATCTAAAAATTCTCCCCCTATGGATCCACGCATGGGCCAATGAATTATATCGGGCATGAGCCGTGTCATCCATGGATGTCTCAGTTCGCTGAGGCGTGATTTTCCAGAAAATGACTGGATCAATCAGATGCGAACACTGGCGACATGCTGCCCTGGTGTCAAATAATGTCCAGAACCCCTATGATCTTCTGATCTTCCTGCCTGATGTGTGGCACGGCGACTAACTTTTTTGGGAGGGAGGGGGAGTACCCTTGCAGTGAATGCCGCGTAAAATTAGAACAAAAAAAAAACCATGGAGACCGACACTTGATACTGGGGTATATTAGTTCGCATCACTGGCGTATTAGCGTATTTGTGCCGCAAACCCATTTTCCGATCCTAGATCATTCCGACTAAGGATCTGGGCAACGTCTCGAATAGAGACCTAGTAAATTTTCGGGACATTGGATGTTTAGCCGGCGTCAAGTAAAACATAGTCTTTCCCCACTGCCAGCAATGCCCTGTCTGTGGGCTTTCCCAATACTGCCAAGTGTCGGAGATCACCCCACGCTGTTCGTGGGCAGTGTAATAATATATACGGAGTACTCCGTACCGTTTCTATGTTTGATAAATTTATTATTAATTTGTTATGTATTAAGCTTAAGTATTAGACCCGGATTACTTGCGACAGTTAGGGTTAACACAATGTCTCTAATCTGCACTAACGTTTCAGGAACAAAGTAAAGAAACAAAAAAGAAAGACAATGGGAGTTTCAGAAAGACAGCGCCACTGGGGCTGATACACATACCAGTTAAGGATACACCATTAGATCATTGCTGTGGCGATTTCGCATATTAAACGGTAACTGGAATTTAACCCTTGGGGTTTAAAAATACATAGTTAGTTTGGGTTCAAAGTATTTAAAGGTGCCCTTTTTTGAATTTTACCTTAGGTAAATATAGTGCTAATTGTATCTAATTAGATCAAACACCCAATGAAGGACCATAAATATGCCAATGGTTCGGCTTAGTATGATGACTTACTAGATTGTTTAGGGCTCCAATCGGCTTAGCCGAAAAGTTCTATCTCAGGCCAAGAAGATCTGATCTAGTGGACCATCCCCCATTTTATATTAGCATGTATAAAGCTTGGCGCATAGTCCAGGTAGTTATGTAGACTGATCCGTGAATATTGTGATGGAAATTAAAAATTGAAATACACCTCAGAGAAACCAAGGCGTATGAACCAACCGCTATCATGCAGAAATGTCAATCAGGATCTTAACATGCTTATCCCTCTCTCCGATGAGAGCTTTGAATCCCTTCTCATCTACATCCTCCATTCGGATCTTACTAGTGATCATCGGGCGAGGCTGAATAGTACCTGCACCAAAGAAGCAAGAGGGTAGCAGAGGGCATCTACCTAATTAGGAAGTCAAGACAATTAATTGAGTAGCGGCCAAACATACCCGAAGCAATTGCGTCAATCACAGCCTCAAAGTCTTCATAATTATAAGCAATAGCCCCTATGATATGTTTCTCACGAAACACAACAGCAAGAGCATCAACAACAGGCCTCTGTTCCCACGAGGAAACGATGACCGTTGTCCCGCGCACCCGAAGACCAGCCATCGCAGTATCGAGCCCAGCCTAAACCCCAGAACACTCGAATGCAATAGCTGCACCCAGATTCTCAGTCAAGGCGCGTACCTGCGCAACTGCATCCACACCAACGGGGTTAAGGACCTCGGTGGCGCCCTGGGCCAGGGCAAATGATCGTCGCTGCTTAGAGACCTCCACAGCAATAATTGATGTAATACCTTTGGCTTTCAGTACCTGGATAATAGCCAGACCGATCGGTCCAGCTCCAACGACGAGTACCGTGTCAGTTGTCTGCAGAGGACTGCGGCTTACGGCGTGCCATGCGACGGCGAGAGGTTCCACCAGGGCTGTATCACCAGTCTGTTGTCAGAGCTGAAACAATTCCAAGACAACTTGAAACGGACAAGTCTATCCTTACCACCAATGTCGAGGGGGATGGAGTCGGGCAACAAAATCGCATGCTTGCTGTCCACGACTATGTGGTCCGATAGACCACCTGCCTGACCTTGTGGCCGTCAATATCGCGACATGGTTATAGACCGTAGCGTGGCTTACTGCTGAGCCCAATAAATCCCTGTTTCTCGCAGGCATTGAAGCTGCCCATTGAACAGCTTGAACACGTGGCGTCAAAGATGTCAGGCTTGACCACAACCCGATCCCCGACCTTGAACCCTGCAATGCCTGAGCCAATCTCTTCGACTGTACCACTGAACTCATGGCCCAGGGTGATCGGCAGCTTCTCGCCAGTTATTGGGTGCGGAGTGACAGGGACAATGATTGGGCCAGCAAGATACTCATGGAGGTCTGAGTTTGATTAAAGGAACTAGCTAATCGGGGTTGTCGAGTGTGTTACTTACCACTGCCACAGATTCCGACAAAGGCAGGTCGAATCTCGAAACATCAAGGTTCGTTGTTAGAGACTTAGTCTTCAAGGTAACCTTAGGTATGTGACTGGTAATGCTAAGCTTGCCTTGACCTGGCCACTGCCGCAAACTGGTTCTTCGACCTCGTCAATGCGGACATCACCTCGTCCATGAAATCGCACAGCTCTCATGATGGGTTTCGTATCAACAGACGAGTTGGTTGAAGTATTGTAGAACGGACCAAGGAATGGAGTCTGCTGGAAATAAAGTGAGACGATGTGACTGAGAGATTAAAATGTTACACAGATATGAGATACATATGTATCTAAGGCTCCGATTCAATATGAGTGATACCTCGGTTAGGCGGACTTGCGGAGAACCCCTCTTGGCGAAACCCCGCGAAGTATAGGGTGTCATTCATCTGAATCGAGAGAAAAGATCAATGGCGAAACCTCTGCTTGTTGTTTGCCACGATCTATGCACAAGGGTTTGATGCATATGACCTAGGGCTACTCTGCGGGGGTGCCCGACGTAGAGGGACAAGTCTGACGTATATCTCCACCCACCAATACGAATAGTGCTTATAACAGATCCTTTTGGGGGAAATAAGAAATAGAAGTAAACACAGATCCGAAACCAATCGAATTCGTTGCTTGAGAGACCAGCTCTGATTCTCGAGTATCCAACTATGTAACCCTGCTCTTGCGAGTCAGAAGACCTTTCAGAGCATCCGTTTCGCCTTCCAGCTTCGAACACCGAAGTCTCCAATCATCTCTTTCCTGCCGGACTTTCTCCAGCTCGGCTTCGAGTTCCTTCATCCGATCCACACGTCTCTGTCGACATCTCCGCGCCGCGAGGGTGTTGAGTTTCCGCTTTTCCACCCGTGACGAGTCGACGCGGCCGAGAGTATCATCCGAGGTAGCGGGACTGGAGTGGGAAGTCGAGACAGGAGCCGGGAATTGAGAGACAGGGGAAGGATGCGAGTGGCCATCTTGTAAGCGTTAGAAACTAGACTCCTTTTGAGTTGATTGAAGAACATAATCCTACCGGGTGAGTGGGCGGAGCTAGAAACAAGAGACGCAGAAACATATTGTTGGTGCTCGATTGATCCGGAATCCGAAAGAGAGTTGAAAGCAGAGGCAGACCCATACCCAAGGTCCATGACGGGGACATCGCCACCGTCATAACCAGGAGGGTATGGCGTCGGATGGTTCACAGATATGAAATTCCAGTCGGTATCAGCAAAGGACAGATCGGGTTCTGTCCAGAGTGCCGACTCGTGCGTGAGGGTATCAAAGGATTGACAGACTGGCACAGCCGAGGGAAAGCCTTCCAACGGTGGCGCCAGTGATGAGAAGAGGTCGTTATCACTGTACGGATGAAGATTTGCCCATGGCGAATATTCAGCAGGCCCTTGATGGCGTTCCTGCGTGCCGGTGTCGGGCGGGTTGGAACCAGTGGAAGGAGGTCTGGATCGCGGCCGCGGCGCTGGAACAACTGCAGGCGGACATCGCTGGATTTCTTAGACGGGCCTTTGCAGACCCGTGACGCTCTGTATGAAGATGAGGAAGGAAGTACCCTAGGGCAACTGTGTGTAGGGGGTCAACTCTGTAGGAGTTGTGTCCTGAGGAAGATATTGAAGGACAAGGCCCGGTCATATAAAAGAATCGAGAAGATCAAGGGATGAACCGCAGCACCACATGGGCCCACCGTAAGCAGCACATGATTGGTTGTTTATGTACTGTTCCCCCACGACTCATTATGACTCATTTTAGCGTCATTCAATTGACCAATCATGGAGGATATTGGGACACGCTAATACAGTTTAAGATAAGTGGAATATACCTCTAGGTTACATTCACATCTAAGCCCCTCCCGGATTGGAATTATGCATAAAATAAGAGACCTGGCGAAGACCCCTAATTTACTGAATAGGACACATTTGAGATTCTATGATTACAATATTGGACCTGTAGACAAACTTTGCATATAAGCTCAGAATGACTATGGTCCACCCCTCATACTAAAGTATCAAACTAAAGTTCTTCAGCCTTAAATATAAAAGACTGTGGTAGTGGCAATACCTTCCACATCCATTCGGTTCTTTTTCACAGTATGCTGTTTAATCCCATGTCTTTGAATGCGACGGCAATCAAGACAGTTCAAGCAGCATGTGGCGTTGTTAGACATAACAATGCAAACCCTCAGTGACCCCTCAGAATCAAGCTAGATGAGGTGGATCTGATTTACTTCATCGTCATGAATTATTCTGAGCTAGGACAGATCACCACTAGCAGCTCATGTCTATTTCCACCGCTCGAAACCTTGCGTTGAATCAATTCCATTTTCCGGAGCCATGGTTGACTGGTAAAGACGAGCACGAAAGGCAGCGAAAGACTTTCTCCAAGCGAATCTTCACGACGGATGCTTTTCATCACTGGAAGAAATAAGTCTTCACAACATCAATACTTGATCTCCCCAACGAGTTGTTGCAGCTCATTGCAGCTCTGCTATCGAAAAATCCTCACGCTAGACTCTGTCGAATGAATCACCGTCTCTCCAAGGTGATAGGCTTTGAGCTCTGGAGACCACTGGATAGAGCTCTCATGGCCCTAGAATGGAGTTTAAAACACCGCAAGCTGACAGTTTACGAGAAGGCAGTCGAAGCACTCTCGAAGTTTGCTGGAAGTGTTTGCGATGAGTCCACGTGGAAATTATTTCCTATTATAGACATCGACAATATCCATATGCGGAGGTGTATGGCTCTGAAAGGTGGTTTTGTTGGGAAGTTATATTTCGAACCAACTCGACGTCAACAAGCAAAATAACCAAGGGCAAACTGCTCTGTTGAAAGCCCTTAATCTGGGAAATAAGGAAGTCATCAAGATGCTTGCCAAAGCTAGTGCCAATCCGGATATTGGAATGCGCGAGGACAAACACCACGGCAACAGGCGTTGGCTGCGGGTATTCGTATCAAATGGAAGACTCACCCGGTATGAGTTGAAGGTGAAATACTCTTTTGCTTACTCTTTTGCTTTCCGCTTACCTGATACACCGTGATTGATAGACCATGTTGAAACAAGCAAAACAAAAGGAGTTTCATGTAGCTAGAAATCACTAATCATTGTGGAAGTGGGAGCTAAACTTTCTCTGATCAGCAGATCCGAATCCCTAACGAAAGGGGATTTATTTTGTATCAATCAAATCTGCAGATTCACAGCACAGTTTCTGGTCGATGCTATGTATGGTGGGATCTGATAGCAATTTGCTTGTCCTCTTGATTCGGTTTCGACAGAGACCGGGACGTAGACATTGAAACTGCTATACAACCATTCCTTCACTTTGCTAAGATAGCAGGTGTTTAAACAACATAGTTCAAAGCAATATAGCACATGATCAACTACTGAAGATAGAACACATAGATATATCCCCTAGTTATTGAGGATAGTCTAGTTCAAGGGGCTTGTCTTCCTCTTATTGGAAGCAAACTTTGACGCTGTACTCATCAGACGGTGGGATATGATAAGATATTGAAAGGTCATAATCAGCAGGTCCTTGGTTTTAACACAGACGATGAGACGTCGAGGTCAAATCCTCTAGCAACAGGCCTTTCTACTATGGGCAGCCCCAGCCCCGGCAACCGCTGAGTCAGCAAACACAGCACGGCCAGGAAAAAAAGCATCCAAGGGCGATTGCTTGAATATTAATTAAAACAAGTAATTGCACCAGATCCCTATATAAAAGGGATCGTCGTCAAGTTGAATTCTCTCAGGTCGACCCTATTGCGGGCCCGACTGGCAACCCCGCGGGTCCTTACACAAATCCGTGCCCCTCCTCGATTTTCTCTTCTTCCACTCCCAACCCCTCCACGAACATACACCATGGCGACGGCAGCAGCTCCCGAGACCTCTCTTCTCTCCCTTCTCTACCGGTCGTACCCCGCCGTAGTCTCTCCCGATTCCACCGAGCCCGACTACCTTCACGCTTCGGCCAAGATCTTCCCCCAGGTCACCTTCAATGAGGCAGAGGAAGCCGACATCAAGCAATGGCTCAACACCGTCTCCGGCCTGAAGAACTCTCTCGCCAATGACAAAAAGGACGTCACTACTGGAATCCTCGACCAGCTGAACATCCACCTGGCCACCCGCACCACCCTCCTCGGCGCGAAGCCCTCGGTCGCCGATATTGCCATCTACGCTATCCTCGCCCCCATCGTTGAGAAATGGACTCCCGAACAGCGCACCGGAGAAAAGGGTTACCACCACATCGTGCGTCACGTCGACTTCGTGCAGAACGGCCGCCTGTTCTCGCTCCAGATCCCCGAGGAGGAGAAGATCGCCATCGACCTGAACGACGTCAGGTTCGTTCCCAAGCCCGTCGACCCCAAGGAAGAGAAAGAGCGCAAGAAGCGTGAGAAGGCCAATGCCCAGAACCCAGACTCGAACAACGAGTCCAAGCCCCTCGTCATCGGTCAAGGCAAGGCCGAGCAAGCCGCCAAAGCTCAGACCCAGGCCGGTGCCGACGGCGCCCCCGTGAAGACCAACAAGAAGGAGAAGAAGGAGAAGAAGGAGAAAGCCCCCAAGCCCGCTCCTGCCCCCGCTGCTCCTCCGGCCCCATCACTGATTGACCTGCGTGTCGGACACATTCTTCGCGCGATCAACCACCCCAACGCGGACTCCCTGTACGTGTCCACTATCGACTGTGGCGACGCCCCTGGCAGCGATAACACCTCTCTCGATGAGGAGACTGGCAAGACCGTACGGACCGTATGCTCCGGATTGAACGGCTTGATCCCGCTTGAGGAGATGCAGGGCCGCAAGATCGTTGCCGTCTGCAACCTGAAGCCCGTGACCATGCGTGGCGTCAAGTCCTGCGCTATGGTCCTCGCTGCGTCCCCGCGCGTTGCGGAGGGCGAGGACTCGCACGCCGGTCCTGTCGAGCTCGTCAACCCCCCTGCTGATGCTCCTGCCGGTGAGCGTATCAGCTTCGAGGGCTGGAACGATGGTCAGCCTGAGAAGCAGCTTAACCCCAAGAAGAAGGTCTGGGAGACTTTCCAGCCCGGTTTCACTACCACTGCCGACCGCGAGGTTGCCTTTGATAGCAGTGCCGTTCCCTCTGTCCATGGACAGGAGGGCAAGCCTGCTCTTGGAAAGCTGGTTGCTGCCTCCGGTGGTGTCTGTACTGTTCAGAGCTTGACTAATGCTACTGTGCGGTAAGGGATGTGACGGTGTTCGGTATATCTGAAAATAAAACTAAACGCATACCCATGAGAATATGAAGAAATCAAAATTTCCAAGTTCGTACTATTTTTGTGCATATTAATGAAATTTCTTCCTCTGCATGCCAATACATGAAAAAAGTTGAATTATGCGTTCCATTTTTTTAGTCTGTACATTGCCACACAACTTAAGGAAGTGATAGATATCGGCATGTTTGCCTAAGCGGGTGCCGCGAATCCCAGAGAAGGCCCGCGTTGATCAAAGACCACAAACAGTGCCTTCAAGAACACATCGCCATAGATCGCCATGCTTGAACTTCCGCTCGACTGAAGGCCGCCATAGCACACTGTCAAAAAATGTTAGCTCGGAACTCATACCTCGAGCTTCAATAGAACAAGGATTTCTCACCTGTTTCACCAGTAGTCGTGTTGGTTCCCACCTCGGACCAATTGATGAACGATCCAGGGATAGTAGCCGAATAACCTTTCCCAACCGCAACGGATAGACTGGGCAAGCTCGAAGTGCAGGGGAAGATATACCCGTTGGCATTATTGGCGTATATAGCGCCATCGACTTGCTTATAGTACGCCTCCGCAACCTCAGGGCTAACCATCATGAGCGAGGTGCCAGTGTCAGCAATGGCGGTAGGTGCCTGGGTGACCGGGTGCAAGGGGCCTCCTCCTATGGCGTATTGTGCCGAGTTGAACTGCCAGAACCCATTGGATGAATCTACACTGACGTTGGCCATGACTCCTCGATACTTGTCCTGATCAACGGTTCCAAATTCATACTCTCCGACGCCGTTGCTGAGCAATCGAACGGTGAAGACTGGCTCGCTGAGGCTGGGGGCGACGTTGTCGAAGAATGTACTCTGTGAAACCGGTGTGACAGTGTTGATTGAAGAAAATCCGAGACCGACAAGTCCGTTAGACTTGGTGTCATCAGCGAATGATTGTGAAATATCCGTCGGAAGGCCGAAGGATTGCCCAGTGACTTTGACCCCGCCAATCGAGACATCATCCTTGCCTACTCCTCCAGTGGCATAGGACGAGTCACCGTACTTGATCTCGAATGTGCTGTTATCGAGTTCTTCGAAAGTGGTGGATTTGCTCGGTTCATAGACTTCTCGGCTGGCTCGCAGTGATTTTGGAAGTCTCGAGCTCAACACCCACCTATATATGGCAATTGGTTAGTTTGGAATATTCATTCTGTGGGCTGGTACAAGGAAAGATGTCGCTAGCCAGCCAATCTTCCAGAAGAGCAAGAACACAAAACTTACATATCAGCAGAGCCACTGTCGAAATTCAGATCGAAGGTTTGGCCTCCAATATTGACCGGCGAGACAAATTCGACGTCTCCATCAACTGAAGTGGCATCCACGGCGCCCGTCTGTTCAGAATTCACTGCCTCTTCCTTTGCAATTTTCACGGAGGCGGTAGTGGTATGCTTGGTGTCGAAAGGCTGGAAGTCGCTCACATCCACACCATTGAGAGTTGTTGCATCAATTCCGAACTTGCGGTATGCCTTGCGCAGTGCCGCGGGTCCATGGACAACGTCGCCATTGCGCCTGACTCTCTCCACCTTGAAGGACCGGCCTTGGAGGTGATTTAGAGGAGCCACGGGCATGGAAAGAGCATTGAAGCTCAACGAAAAGAAAACAGCAAGAAAAAAAACGAATTGCATGTTGCCCAAAGCCCCAACTTGGGATATCAAAATCAAAAAAAAAAAGGTGATTAGATCAGGGCCGGCCTGAGGAATTGATATTAAAGAATGCGATGGACAAGAAACACAAGACAAGATCGAAAAGAAGGTGGATTTTCGGCAGCTCTGCAGGTCTGTAAGGGCAGACTTGGTCTGAATGAATGGAGGACAATGTCCAATGTCTCAAAATGAACGTCAGCAGGCAGTAGTCCTGACTCGAATACCTGCTGCCAAGAATGAAAAAAGAAAGAATACAATGTGTACAATGTGAACAATGCAGAAGAGAAGAAAACAATGCGAGAACCAAAAACAATATATCAACAAAGCAAGACAAGACAAGACAAGACAAAGTGAAACTTCATATGGGCAGGAAACAACCCTAAAGGCAAGAGCGACCCGAAAACAATACGTATTTTGTAGTGCAAACGTTTGTTTCTGTCCGGCGCATCCGCCTATCGGAGGCAAGTACTGCACTGCCAAACCCTTGGCCTAAGCTGGGCATGCTTCACAGACGCCATCAGTCCCAGACCAAGATGTATACTCCGTGTGTCAGGAAGTAAGGGGCCTCGGAAGTAGCGCCGGACGGAGTAGGGAGTACGGAGATACCTATGTACGGAATAGCAGGGCACTCTGTAACTTGTCTGTTACTACGCGGCGTCTTAGATAAGTGGGGGGATTCCCCTGGGCGCGTGGGTTTGACACCTGAGACCTGAGGGCCTGTGGAGTGTTAGGATCTGCTTGCTGATCCTGAAACAACGGCCAGCGGGTAGGGGCCCAATCATGCAGGCTGGACAACGCACTTGAAACATATTAGAAATGTTATAGAGAGCTCTCTGTGACATGTTAAGTGTGGCTTACTTTTTTATTTTCTTGGACTTTGCTTCTCTGCCTATTGGAACAAAGGCATTGCGTGTTGGCATATGTATGGAGTACGGAGTACTCCGTAGAACAATGGGATCTTTGCCTCCCATTGATCTTCGGCCGATCAAACTGTCGAGTGTACTCAATATAAATTAAAGATCTGATTATAAAATTTGTGTAATTAGTTTATAGTTTAAGGGATGCAAATCTTGTAGGTAAGCCCCATTTCTTCATGGCATTGATTCACACCATAACTATATTTATATATATCCCTACATTTTTTTTCTGAGGCACCACTTGTGACATTATAGAAGTTTCGGTTCTGCGGAGAGGCAAAAGAAACATGGAATATTAACCCCCGGTCTTGGAATACTGTCTCCAATCCGATTCAAAAATCCAAACTAGAACAACGTTAATGTGAGATAGGCTCTGTGTCTGGCACTCGAATGGCTTAGAGCAGAAGGCTTGCGGGCGCATCTACATGCTTGGCTAAGAAAACAAGTATATTGCTTTGTAGAAGCAAGTCTCAACAACCTACAATGTAGTCTCAAAAGAGTCCTAAGATGGTACAAACATGAGATGTGATTGAACTTGATAGTATGCAAGAATCAATATAAATCAACATCATACAATGTCATTACTCTTCCAATAGGAATACAGAGCTAAAAGAAATGAAAGGAGAGTAAAAAGTGAAAGCATTTTAAGTGCATAATGGTCTAGACTCGCACGCCGCGAGAGACCCCCAAGGATATCGATTTCAAACAGAAACAACTCCCATCCCATGGTTTCGCTACCAGACCCAACCAGCCACATACCAGCGGCAAGGAAGCGTTGTTCACCAGTCCCCAAATTCGATGTACAGAGAAACAATCCGTAAAAGATGAGAAAAGTAGAAGGTAACAAAGCAATAAAAAACAACCCAAGATATTCAACAGTGCCCAAGCAATGCAGACGTGTATCGTTTCCGCCTCTAGATCCTTGAAAATGATATCCATTCCCACCCCGGTAAAAAAAAACCCAAACAAACAGATCGTAGAAAGAAAATAATGAAGTGCCACAGCGAAGGTGTATCTGGCAAAGTCGGTTGCACGCAAAACCCTCCCAAAATAAAAAGGTAAAATCAACTCCATAGGTCATTGGCATGCAACGTCAAGTAGCAATGTCACTGCACGTGTGTTCTGTACATCATCGGTGGCCTGACCGGAAAAAAGAAACATAGGCCGAAGAAAGTATTCGTCCCTCCCTGAGAGGCGAAAGAGGTATCGTAGGAAAAGGATGCAAGGTATTGAATCGCAGGCGCCGTCGCTCGCAACAAGCTAAGAGTATCGCAAAGGATCTAGAATATGAGGCGAAGGTGGTCGTAATCGGCGAAGAGGAGAGTGTATGTACAGGTCGGTTTTTTGTTTTCGAATTTTTGAAGATTTTTTTTGGTCGCCGTGTTCGTGGAACAGATATTTTTCCAGGTTGTGTGTCGTGTCGAATGCAATAGACGTATCGAACAAGAATGCAAGTGGAGAAAAAAAAAAGAAACATTATGACCTGCGATTAAGGGACCCCGATGATGCAGAACAGCTGAAATAACGTGCAATGGACGAATGGAGATGTAGGATGCCAGCCTACGACTTTGGCAGATGGCACCTTTACCACCGACGCTGAGCATTCTGCATCATCGCGGGCGTGATCGATGAAGGGGGGCTCGACAGGGTCATTCCAGTCGAGGGGTTGATAATCGGAATGACCTTGCGGGTCCGGTTCGCAGGTTGCTGTTGCTGGTAGTTGACATGATTAGGGTTGCCGGCAACACCAGAGTGAACGTAAGAGTTGGTTTGAGCGGGGGACAAAGAGACGGACGGGGTCACTTGCTGCACCGGTTGGATTTGGTGCTGCAGAGGTGAGGTGTCCGGCGAGCCGCTGGAGAGAGAAGAGCGGTCGGAAGTGGAGTGGATGGAGTGCAACTACAAAATAAAAGTCAGCAAGACTGTCTCCTTAAAATGGTTTATCCGAATTAAGATTGGCGATCTTCAAGGGGCGTAAGGGGGTTCGAAAATTCGCCGATCAAAACGTACATCATCCTCAGTCAGGAGACCCGGGCAAAACTCGAGGTCGTCATCCAGATCAAAGGACCGACCAGCCTCGAATCTTGCACGGAAGGCTGTCACAGCCGGAGCTTCCGCCAATTCCCGCATACTCTTGACTCCTCGGAACTGACGGTGAGCATTCTGCGAGGCCATCTTTGGGGCACGACGAGAGCGCCCATGGTGGGTATTTGTTGCAGATTGCATATGAGCACCATGGTGAGGATGTTGCTGGTGTTGCTGGTGTTGGTTGTAGAAGTAGGCAGACATTGTGTAAGAAGCCACCGGAAAGTGAGATGGAAGATAAGAAAGTTACAAAAAAAAAACGAGGATATAAAAATATAGGAGGAAAGATCGAGATTGAAAAGAGGAAGGATTAATGGGAAGAGTGTGTGGGAAGAGGCGAAGGAGAAAAAGAGGGGAGGGGTGTGTTATGGGGATGGTACGGATACCGTCATTACCATTTCTTACTATTTAAGGGAGTTGATTAAGCGTTTGATGTGAATAATTACCGTTATGTATTGTCAGAAATGGAAAGAGACTTACATCGACGCACCAACCAAACCAAAGCGCTACCGGAGTGGCAATAGCCTCACAACCAATGAGAACTCGCAGATCCTCAAAAATGGACCCCAACGGCCCACCAAAATACTTCAAAAAACCTGACGTCGTCGATTGGAACGTTACAAGATCTCTACCTACAATGACGATTGTTACATACTATTTTATCTAGATCCGACGTTGCCGAAATGATCTTTTTGTGAGATATACACATCTAATAAACCGAAACGAAGTCCGGAAAAGTAAATAAGAGGGGGCAAAAGCTGAGATTTTTTCCTCAGCCCTTCGGATCCCTTAGCTGCAGGCTGTGCATTGGCTTTACCTTCCCAGGAACATTCCCCTCTATTCCCCCCTATAGGGTGCCCGAATCGGCAGTGGCTGCTGATCTTGCTTTGATCGGCTCCCCGTACGAATTCCCCAATCCTTCGACACGCAGCGCAAAGACCCCCCTCTCCCCCCCCAAAAAACCTTGTTGGTCTCGAGACACACCCACAGCCCTAGCTGCAGATGAATCCGCCTATTATTGGTAGGGGACCTTGAGATCCGACCTTATCAGCTCACACCCTTCCAAATCGGAGTTCATCAATGCGGAATCCGGACTAGGGCAGGGGCTTACGGCGCTTTCTTCGCCTTCTCGCTGGGTAGCATTGCCTACCCGTGACTCACTACATATTTATGCGACCGAATAAAAATCAAATGTGAGTTCCCACTATTCAACGTGTGGCGATATACTTTTAGGTCTGGGAGCTATTTCCGGTTATCGTCTTTATGTCCTTAATTGGGATATGCTCTGGAAATGCTCTCGGCGCCTACTGGAACGGAACCCTGTTGCATGATGTGCCGACCTTCCCTCTTCCACCAGTGATAACTTTCATTCTATTACACGGCGCCGAAAAAGGATCAAGCCCAAACTCTACTAGAAACAACGTACCACCGTAAGCCTCTCTAGTTTTCGGCTTCACCGCCCCTTTGGCTATTTGGGGCATCTCATGAGGCGCAGTCGCACTGGCGAGATCGGATCTATCACATATGGTACCCCGTAAACGTTGCGAAGCTTGAATAATGCAGCTGATCTATCCAGCGTCTGTGCAGGTTGCATGATTTGGTGTCCGAGATCGTGGGGTTCCAATGCACGAAATATGTAATTCAATAGACTATCCGCGATCCGATCCCCGGATACACCGCGCAAGGGACCTACAAACACGATCAAGTATTTAAGCCCTGGTTGGATTACAAATATGTGAAATCTATTACATCGCGGCAAATGTCTCTGTCCGAGTCGGAAGGTGGTTTCAAACTCTGGGCGATATTGAAATCGCGATTTGCGGAGTCGAGGTCCTCGTTGCACAGCATGACAGCATGACAGCATGACAGCAAGACAGAGAGATAAGTCTAGATTCTTACATACTTTAAACATTATTTTGGTTA